CCTCCCCACTCTGCTCCTCCATCTCTGCCCCCTCCCATCCTCTGCCCACCTCCCCCCCCACTTTGCTCCTCCACCTCCCCTGCCCCCTGCCCACTCTGCTCCTCCATCTCTGCCCCCTGCCACATTCTGCTCCCGTGTGTTCCAGGACTCAGGCGTGAGATGTGGCCCCTCCGAGCTCTAGGCCCCTGGCGCTTGGCTCTGGCCCACCTGCGCTGGGCCGCCCGGCCGTACTCCGGTTCGCAGGGAACAGGAAGTGGTGGGGGGCCCCTGGGCGCCCCGGGCCTGCGCACCCGCCTGCTGGTGACCGGGCTCTTTGGCACGGGGCTGGCCGCGGCGTGGCTGTGGGCCCGCGCCAAGAAGGAGCAGCGGCAGCAGAGGCGGCGGATGGAGGCCTTGCGCAGTGCGGCCGTGGGCCAGGGGGATTTCCACCTGGTGGACCACACGGGCCGTCCACGCTGCAAGGCCGACTTTGCGGGCCAGTGGGTGCTCCTGTACTTCGGCTTCACACACTGCCCAGACATCTGCCCCGAGGAGCTGGAGAAGCTGGCCGGGGTGGTGCGCAGGCTCGACGCTGAGCCAGGGCAGCCCGCCGTGCAGCCCCTCTTTGTCACCGTGGACCCCGAGCGGGATGACGTGGCCGCCATGGGGCGCTACGTGCGCGAGTTCCACCCGCGGCTGCTGGGGCTGACGGGCACCGCGGAGCAGGTGAGCGAGGCTGGCCGGGCCTATCGGGTCTACTACAGCGCGGGGCCTCGGGACGAGGATCAGGACTACATAGTGGACCACTCCATCATCATCTACCTGCTGAACCCCGACGGGCTTTTCACCGACTACTACAGCCGCAGCAAGACGGAGGAGCAGATCACGGCCAGCGTGCGGCGGCACATGGCTCGCTTCCGCAGTGCGTTCAGCTGAGTGCCCAGGCCCAGCCCACCCGGCCATCCCCATCTGACCTTGGCTGCTGCTTCCTTTTGCCCGCCAGGCACCAAGCACAGGCCTGCACCCTGTTCTCTGGTCGACCAGACACATTTATTCTATGATAACGATGCTCGACACGTCGCTCAACATGGGCGTGGGAAATAAACAGATTCGTTGTACAAACACAACCTTGAAGGGCCCACAGAGCTCTGGACTAGGGCTGAGATGGCTGGCTATGGGGGAAGGGGGGGCGGGCCCTGGTCACCAGGCCCCCAAGTCCCCTGGCACCATCTAGGCACCTGCCAAGACGCAAAGCCTCCCCTGCTTCAGGGTTGCCAAGGGAGGGGGAGGGCAGGAGACAAATTTAGACAAAACATGGAAAAAAAACAGCTGTCGGGGGGAGCCCGGACACACACGCACATACACACACAGTGTCTCTCTCAAGCAGCTGCTCCCCACAGTCAGGGCAGGGCCATGGAGGGGGCCGTGTATGTCTGGAAGCGCTCATGGGCTCGCTGGCGGGTGAGAAGCCTCAGGGACATGGTGTCCACAGCCTCCGCGAGCCCTGGCTTCTGGGCGATCTCCACCGTGTAGTCGTTGGCCTGGTGGGAGGAAGGGGAGGGTAGGAACAAGCTTCTTCCCTTCTTGCCTTCTCAGGGTCCCAAGCCAGACGCCCCTCCCCCAGCCCCCTGCCCCGCTCACCAGCTGCAGGGAGGCCAGCATGGAGCGGCACACCTCGAAGGCGGGCTTGCCGGCCACCAGCTCCGCGAAGGGACACCACTCGTTGAGCTGCCGAAAGCTCGCTACCACTTGGTCCCCGTAATTGTGGATGTCGAAAGGAACGTGTTCCTCCTGGAAGGAGGAAGCAAACGCTGCCTGCTGCCTGCCTCTGCCACCCACCAGCAGCCACGGGGGGCCCCGAGCTCACCCTCACCTGTTCCTGGAGCAGGGGCCCGATGGTGTCCTCCCAATCTCGGATGCGCTGAGACAGCTCCGTCTCATGCACGTACTTCTGAGAGTTGGCGATAAATAATTCCTGGGAGAAGAGGAGGGTGCTCCGGAAGTCTTTGGGCCAGGTGCCGCCCCCCAACCCTTCAGCCTGGCTCCCGAGCAGAACCTACCACGTTTCTCTGGACCAACTCCTCGTAGCTCAGCGGAGCAATGGCCTCTGGCTCTAGGGGAGAGAAGCAGGGCCATGGGTCAGCTCCAGGCTGGGCCACCTTCTGGCTAAGGCTGCGGAGCCCTCCCCAACCCCCCCCCCCAGCAGCTCCAGGTGATCCAGGCCTACCTGGAACGCCTTCCAGCGGCTCCGCGGGCTCCACATCCTCCAGCTCCAAGAAGCTGTCTGAGAGAAGCGGGATAGAGGAAGCTAGCCCCACCCGCAGACCCTGGCAGCACCAGTGCCCCCTCCCCCGCCAGGGATGCCAGAGGCCAGCCTGGGCCCCAGGGGGCTACCTCCTCCTCCCAGGTGCTCCGGGGACTCCTCCACTCGCTCCTCTTCTAGGGCCCACAGTCCTTCCTGGGCCTTGGCCAGCTGCTGCTCCGCCACCTGGATGGAGGCAGGATGAGGTCAGCCACCCGGGGTGTGGGCACTGGCATCTGCGGCCTCCTGCCCTACTCGCAGTGGACACAGAGATGGCTTCAAGCCATTTTGCCAGTATCCCCCTAACACCTGCTCTGGGTGGAAGGCAGAAGGCCTTCCTGCAGAGAGATGAACTCAAGGGGTCTGGCATAGCACGGGAACAGTGGCCAGCACCTCTGAGGCTGGTCCCGCCGAGCCCCCTGCCCTCACCTCTCCCCTCCGCAGCTTGCGCAGGGCATCCGCCTGCTCTTTGACACGCTTCCAGTAGAGGGCTTCTAGGTCTGTACAGAGAGAGATTGCCAGGGCCCTTGGTTAGGGCCCCCATGCTGCACCAAGCCTGGCACCCTCCCCCTCCCCCAATAGCGGCTCAGACCCTCCTCCAGCCTCACCTGCAAATGTGGGGCCTCTGTGCCGAGGTTTCTGGGAGCTACCACAGCCGCTATCTGAGGAACAAGGTCGGAGGTCAGCGGGTCACGCCGGCATCCCTGAAGCTCAGACCTGTTTGCCCCACCATCCCCCACCCCTCAGGGGGCCTCCACCCACCCAGGACTCGACTCACAAGCAGCCAGGTACCACTCGTGAAACCCCTGGAGTCTGGTGGAGGTCTTCCTTTTGCGTTTGCCAGATGTGGTCTCCTCCAAATGCTGTGGCAAAGAGTAAGGGCTCCCTGGGAGACAGAGCCAGGAAGTTGGACAATGGGGCCTGGCCCAGGGACGAAGCAGCCACAAGAGGGAGGGACGCTGGAAAGAGATGTGGGTACCGCCAAGCCCGGCCTCCCGGGGGAGCAGGCGGTCAGGACCTGTCGGCAGCAGGCCGCCAAAGCCGGGGGATGGGCTCTACAGCCAGCATTTCCCAGTGCTCCGCAGGCAGCTCCCCCCACAGTGCCCACCTCCATCCCCTGACTCCTGACCTTTCTTGAAGGGCTTGCCCTCCAGGGAGTCAAAGGGGTCCAGGCTCCGCCAGGGGTCTGGGGGCTCCTGCAACACACGACACAGAGCAGACACTGAGCGAGGACCATGTGCTTGGGACCCCCTGCAGAGCCAGACAGCGGGCTACCTGCCTCGCAGGGGAGGAACGAGGGAGCTCTGCCCACCAGGCTGCCCCAAGAAAAGAGCCAGGAAAGTTCGGAGAGGGCTCCCTCCCCGCCACCCGAAGGCCCCCAAGAAGGGACGCCCCCATCAGCCCCAGCCGTTTCTTGCCTTTTGTTGCCACGATGGGCAGGGGGTGGCGGCCGGGGTCGTACCCTGGTGTGTGCACTTCCTCGACTCCAGGGCACCCTAGGAGGGAAAGCGGAGGCGATCACCCTAGCTGCTGGGTGTACCGATGCTTTAACCCAGAGCAACAGCCAGGATCCCTGCCACCCTGCTCAGAAGGGGGTGGGCGGGAGGCAAGGATTCCTGGGGGCTGCCTGCCTGTGATGACGTCGTACTTCACATGTTTTCCACCTTTCTCCTTGGAACCGGGGCTAAAATACGCTGAGAAGCTCCGGCAGAAGTCCAGGGGAGCCGAACCCTGAGACCCTCCCCAAATTCACTCTCCTGCGATGCATCTGCCCACAGCTGAGTCCGGGAGCCTCCCAGGGCCTACATGCCTCTGACTGGTCTCGGAATCATCGCAGGAATCACTGATGTTTTGAGACACCCTGAAGGTCTGCAAAGCCCTTTGGAGCCATCATTCCCAGAAGCCTGTGGGGTAGGCTCGCCGGCATCACTGTCCTCAGACCTGGTCATGGGGCAGTCACTTCACAGCCCTGCCACCCTCCTCAGGGCCCCAGCTGAGACCCCTCCTACCTGCTGCTGGGTCTCCGGCTCTGGGGACTCTGGACAGGCCTCAGGGGCCTCTGGGTCAAGGAGCAAGTCTCCTCCCACCTCTTCCTCACCTTCAGGTAGTGCTGCCTCTAGAGAAGGGCAGGGAGGAGAGGATGAGGCCAGACTGTCTGGGGCTGCCTGGACAGGAAGCACTATTAGTGACCCCAGGAGCTCCCCAGGCAGTCCCCACCAAGGTGCTCAGGGAGCAGGAATCCTCCAAGTAAAACTGAATTTAAAATGGAGGGAATGAGACTGAGGCTGCAAGGACCAGGTCTGGGTACAAGGTATGCTGGGAGCCAGGCGGTGCTCTGGCGGAAGGGAGGGCCCAACACTCCCCTCTTAAGCCTTGGCTCCACACCTTGCTTCTCATCGTCCTCCTGGGAGAAGTTGAGCACTGGGGCCGGGGACATGCACACAGAGACGTCCATGGGCATTTCCTCAGGCCTCTCGGCATCTGTGGAGTGAAATTAGAAAGGGGAAGGGGCTGAGCTCATGCCCGCCCCACCCCGCTCCTTCACCCATCTTCAAGCTGGTCTCTGCAAAAAGAAGCACATTCCAGGAGAAAGAGGCTTTCGAGGTGTGGCCATGGGAGGAGGCTGAACGCCCTCCAGGGATGGACCAGCACCCTGCTCAGGACAGTCACATACACAGGCACTGTACCCGCGACCCACTGACCTGGCTCTAGGCTGGCACTGGCTATGTCCTGGGTATGAGCAAAGGCCCGAGACCTTGTGGGTGCTCCTCTGCACAACGGACCCAGGTCAGCCATGTGCCCCGGTCAAGGGTCTCTCTTGCCTGAAGGGACCTTGGCCCATACAGCTCAGACATCTTCCAGGCTGATCATACTCCATTAGGCTCCCAGCCATCCCGGCCTGCTCGCTCTCTCCAAACAGCCTCCCAGCTGCCCTCTCTGGGCCCTGGTTTGGGCTGACCCCGAGGCCGGAAGGCCCTCCCTTCCTCTTGGCCAGTCGGCCTAGGGTTTAGGTTGTGGTTGCTTAGCTCTGAGCAGAAGCTGTTCCCCGCCATTGCCGGATCCCCAGCATCCAGCACGGTGCCTGGCACTCAGTGGGTACTTAGTAAATGTCTACTGGATGGAGAGGATGATTATGCCCCTCAACTTTTGCTGTCCAGGGTTCTTGTGCAGAACAAATTCCCTCACAGTGAACAGTTGGGTCCGGAGCAAGGGACCCCCCTCCCAGTATCCTTTGGGCTCCATGGCCCTCTCACCTAGCTGGGTCCTCGGCAGTATCTGCTCCATTGGGGACAGGCCTCCTGGCTCCAGCAGGAAGGCCCCGCTGGGATGGGGGGTGGATGTGTTCATCCGGAAATCCTTGCGGCTGGCCAGGACCTCCCCTCGGCGGCTGTGCTGGCAAACAACCACACTCTGAGAAGAGGCCGCGGGCACAAGGGCAGACAGAGAAGAGGGTCCCCCCCACGGAGGCCAGAAAGAGAAGTGGGGGCAGAGTGGGCGGGGCTCCCCTGTACCTATACAGTGGGCTGCTCTTCTTTTCCTCTTCGTCAGGGGGCACCAGGGCCATGGGCACCAAGGGGATGACAGGCACTGCCTGTCAAGGGGCACAGAGTCACCGAATGCAGAACAAGCACACCCCCCGCGCCCTGGCTCCCCAGCCTCACCCCACCAAAGATCTCCAGCTGCCCAGAGGAACCTGGGAGGTCAGTGAGAAGGCGCCACGTACATTGGGAGACTGGTCGTTCTTCAGGTCTATGTTTGCCCGGGAGTCGGGGAGGTCATCAAGGGACAGAAACTGTGGGAAGACAAAGGCAACAGCTGGCAGGGCCTGCAGCGACCTCGGGAGGCCAAGAGGGGGTGAGCCCGGCGTGGGTGCGTCCTCTGTGAGGGCCGGGCCCCCTGAAGCCTCACCTCTTCCTCAGGTTCGGGGTGGGCTCCGCTGCTGTCGTCGGCATTCTGCCCATCTGGCTGCACAGACGTGGCCTGCTTGTTCCGCCTAGGGGAGAAAAGGTGACCGGGGACGGGTCAGCTCTTCCCACGCAGGTTGTCAGAGAACAGCTGGGGAAGCCCCAGGGGCGTGCCAGCTGGGTCCCGGGCCCAGTCTCCACCAGCCCAGGGGGCCTTCCCTCCTGTGCTCATGGGTCTTCTCACTTTTCTTGTTGTTAACAAACCCCAACGGGGAGGAGCGGAACAGAGGGGCCCTGGCGGCTTGTGCAGTGCGCCACAGACCCAACAAGGCTCCTCCAGGTTTCCCCCCGTCCTTACTTTTTGCCTGAGATGAAATCCAGAGCCTGGTAGACCAGCGAGTAGAGGTACTCCACCTGCCAAACAGAGACACAGGGTGAGGAGAGGAGCCAAGGCCTGGTGTACCAGGGCAGCACCCAGGCTCTGCTCCCAGCCAAGCCGGCACAACCGACTGAGCATCCCAAGGAACTCACACACGGCTCTGAGAATGCGTGTGCTCAGCGGCCCCGGCACACACAGCGCGGGACACCTCTCTGCCTTGGGGCCCCCATCTATTGAGTGCCTCACTTCCTCTGCTATGCAAAGCGCTGCCACAGGCCAGGTGGGCCCTGAGGGAGGACAGACAAGGCTTGTGACCGCCCACAGGCAGCAAGGTGACTGAGCTGGGGCACAGTGGGTCAAGGACAAAGAGCGGGGGCTACTGACCCGTCATGGGCATGGCTGCCACCCTCAGAGAAGGAGCAGCTGGGGTGAAGGAAGGCAGCTCGGGAGGTGGCTGAGAGGCCTTGGTAAAGAAGCAGGAACTCCTCCTATCTGCCATCACAACCAAGGGCCCCGTGCGAGCAAGGCCTACAGGCCAGTCCCGAGAACCGAGGGAACCCTGCCATGCCTCCCTCCAGCTTCCAAGGAATCGATCCTTGGAGTGCCACTCCTAATCACGCGCTGTCTGACTGTCCCCAGCCAACGGCTCACCTTTTTACTGTAGACAAAGGCAGAGCCCTGGATCAGCAGCGCAGCCTCAATGAAGTTCATGGTAGTTTTGCCTTCATCAAAAGAAATGCAGATCTGGTCCAGCTTCGGGACACATGAGAAGGGACGCAGAAAGAAGGGAAGTGAGCAGGGCTCTACCCCTACCATGCTCAATCCCACCTCCTGGCCTTTGCCTACACTGTTCCTACCGCCAGGAATACCCTCTCACCTATCTCCTGCCCATGATGCCCAGAATGAGCAGGAGACAAAGGTCAAAAGGCAGGTAAGAAAGAGCCAGGCTGAGGAGGCTTTCAGTACCCTCCCAGAAGGCTGGTGACACTGAGGAAGCCCTGAAAGTTTCCAGGGCCTGGCGTTTCCTGACCCCCCTCCTCCAAGCCCCTGCCTGCACTCCCACCAAAACCTCCCCCACTGTCCTGGCCTGCCAAGCTAGTCCTGACGTGGGTGAATAAAGACAATTATCGACCCTGAGCCCCTCCTCGGCCCCTGCTCAGCCTCTGAGACCCAAATCTCTGACTCTTTATTTGTCTTTAAATTATTATGGTTTTCCTATCAGTGCCTGGCATCTAGCCAATGCTTAATAAATGTTTGATGACTAACTCACTGACTTGACTAAAGGATGCCTCTGGTTCTGTCCCCAGCATAGGGATGGATCAAAGTCAGTGTGGAGAATCAGAACTGGCTGAATTGGACCCAAAGATTATCATGCTTCACTGGGTCAATGTCCATCTGGAGGCTGTCAGGGAAGTGTCCCAGGGCTCAGTCCTTGGCCAACTCTCTTAATGTTCCCCACCCCCACCGAGGCTTTTACTAAACTTTCGTTCCCGACTGGAAGTCCTAGTTTTCCCATACTCTCTTCCCCACCCTTCTTAGGAAAGCAGTCTGGTGAGGTGAGTGGGCAAGGCCTGGCATAGGTGAGGGACCCCATAAGTACATGTAGGTAGGAAACCTGTTTGTATGCAAAATACCTAAGTGAACCAGTGCCCAGAAAACAAGTATTGTTCCTGGGGATGCTGGTGGAGAGAGTGCCAGCATACCAGGTGCTCCGATGACTTCTAGCAAGAGGCTGCGAGCAGACAGCCAGAGCAGGTTGGACACAGCCCAGCTCAATCTCCTGAGCTGGTATGCTTTAGGAAACTTTGTGAGGTGGGTACTACAAGGATTAGGCACAATTTACAGACAAGGAAACTGAGGAAGACTTGGTCCCATAAATCAGTCAGTGTCAGGTAACATGGACTCCAAGTCCACTGTTCTTTTGAGTATCATGGATTATATTTGACTGTCACATCTCCCCCTTCTCTCCTCCTAAGGGGCTCCCACCCTGGTGCAGACCCTCCTCCTCTCTGGGGGACGGGTCCGGCCTGCCTCAAGTCTGTCCCCACTGCCGTACATCCTCCATTCAATCACCGGAATGATTTTCCTGAAGCGCCGATCTGATCCCGTCACACATCCCCCACGGCCTCATTTAACGCCAGCGCCTCCCTATCTCCTCCAGGAGCAAATGCTAAATGCTCTGCTTGGCGTTCGAAGCCCCTGATCGCCAGGCCCGCCACCTCGCCAGTCGGACTAGTGCGGTGACACCGGCTCCCGGCTGCTCCCCCCGCGAGATGCCCATCTCTTATTACCCTAAAACCCTGCCTAACACAGGAGCTTTCCCCGACCAGGCCTTGGAGGCGGGGGTGCGCTTCTCCCTCAGGCCCCGCCTCTTGTAGATTTCACGTAATACACAGGTAATACACATGTAACGTACATAGCGGGTAACGTCAAGGGGCAGCTCCCTGGACAGCGGCGCTTTAGCAGGCTCAGAAGCGCCCTGGGCCTGTCAGCTCGCTGAGGGCAGGGACCCCAGCCCGCAGCGCACAAGGCACACAGTGGGCGCTTAAGCAATGCCCGCCAGTTAAAGAGCGTCGGGCTCCGCTCCAACTCCAGGCTGGTCTCGCTGGACACCCTGACACCTGACCCCCTGCGGGCCTTTGGTGACGTCACTGCCCAGACCCTCCCCCGGCCCTGGCCCTCAGTGACGTCACCCTCCCGTCCCGCCCTGACGTCACCTCCTCCAGGTACTCGCCCAGCTGCGCCGCCACATCCACCTCCCAGTTCTTGGTGAGGTCGCGGATGGGCTGCAGGAGGTGGGCGAAGCGGCTCTCGACGTCCTCCATGGACGAGCAGGCGGCCGGGGCTCTCGCTCCGGGCTCCGCTTTCCCGTTCAGGCCACAGTAGAGGCCGCTCGGTCTGGCGCCATTTTTGCGTTTCGCGCTCAGAGCAGTGTGTGACGATCAAAGGCGGCGCCCGGCGCGCGTCCGTGACATCATGCGGCCGCGTAGGAAAGGAGGGGGCGGCGTCTGGTGGGCGGGGCGTTGGCGGCGCCGCCACCTAGGGGGCGGGGACCAAGGAGAAGGGAAGGCTCCGGGAGGCTCCTTTCGAGGCACAGAAGAACGGGGTCCCCACGATGGGGAAGGAGGCTCCTCCTCGGGCGGGGCGTCGGGCGACTGAGGCCGAGCTTTTGCCGGACGAGGCCTCCGAGAAGAGCGAGAAGAGCGGGGACGCTGACTGACGCCACCACGCGGGGCGGGGCTTGAATGAATGCGAGGCTGGGAAGGGGCGGGTGCGGCGACGTAACTGGAGGGGCGGGCTAGCTCCCTTTGCGCTCGGGACTGCCCCCGGGGGCGGAGCCAGGGGGCCGTGACGTAACTAGGAGGCGGGGTCGAGGAGAGGGGCGGGGCCAGCTGCGGGTGGGCCAACGTGTCTCCGCCGCTCCTGCCCAGCCTCGGACCGACGGTTCGCCATGGCGGGCTCGCGGCAACCCCGGCGTCTTTTCCTGCAGGGCGTGGCGGCTGCCTTCCTGTTCGCCTTCGCCTCGCTCTACGCGCAGATCCCTGGTGAGGCCGCGGGACCCCCGTCCCCTCCCCCCAGGGGACCCTTCCCCTGGAATTCCCCCCCCCCAGGCCCTCTCCCTGGTGACTCTCCGTCTGAGTACTCTTCCTCTGAGATCCCACTCACCAGCCCCCCTCCCCCTTTCCCCTTGAAATCCCCAGTCCTGACTGTTCCCCTGGGGACCATCCCCCTTGGAATCCCCAGTCCTGACTGTTCCCCTGGGGACCCTCCCCCTCCCCCCGACATCTGCCCTCCGGACCCTTCCCCTGGGCACACTCCCCAGGCCTTCCCCCTAAGTACCCTCCCCTTTCCCCTTGAAATCCTTCCTCCCGACCCTTCACCTGAGGACCCACCCCCTTTCCTCTTGGACTCCTTTCCAAATACTCCCCAGCCCCTACCCCCTCTCACTCCTTACCCCACCTGACCACCCCTTTCCTCTTGCATCCCTCCCTTCCGAACACTCCTCAGGCGCTCCTCCCGCCCCCCAGCCCTCCCCCTTTCCCCTTGGAATCCACGCCTCCAAACACTCCCCAGCCCTTCCCCCCTCCTCTAGGGACTCCTTTCGCCACAGGACCTCTCCCTTTCCCCTCGCAATCCCCCTTCCTCGACCCTCCCCAGCCCCTTACCCTGGAGACTGTCCCCCTGGAATCCTCCCCTCCAGACACTCCTCACCCCTGCCCCTTCTCCTGGGGACACCTAAGCAGACTTGCCCCACTGGCGTCTTCTTTTCCCCCTGGAGTTTCCTCCCCTCCCCATCCGCTGCCCTTAGGCCCCCCAGACGTGATCCACTAGGACCCTCTCCCTTCCCCTGGAATTCCTCCCTTGGGGCCCTCTCCAGGCTCCTGCCCCCTGCCCAACCCCCGATCGGCCCAGGTCCTTTACAGATGGCCCCTGTTCTTTTCTGCTGGGATAACGGCTGGTCGCAGTCCTGCCCTTTTCCTCCTGGCCCCTCACCCACACTCAGGTTGACCAGCCCCCCCCCCCTTCAGTGGAGCCCAGCTCCCCTCCTGACCAGCCTTCCCCCTAGGGCTATATGGGCGTGATGGGATCCTGCCTGCCCGGAAGATGCTCCGGCCTCTGGGGAAGGGTCTGTGGCAGCAACTGTGGGAGGTGCCCACACTGCTCTGGCTGTCCCCACGCCTGGGGCTGGACACAGAGCAAGGCATGGAGTTGCTGAGCCTTCTGGGGACACTGTGCAGCCTGGGGGCCCTGCTGCTGCCCTCCTGGCGCCATAGCCTGCTCTACCTGCTGCTTTGGAGCCTCTACCTCTCCCTCTACCAGGTGAGAAGGGGCCTTGAGGGACTCTGGCCCTGCCCCTCCCCCCTTCTGCTCCGGAGGGAAGCCACTGGCCAGCTCTGCCCACCCACTTCCTGCACTGCTTTCCAGACGCTGCAGGCCCTGGGATCTTGCTTCCTTTCCCTTGGGATTTTGGAGAAAAGCATAGGAAAACTTCTCCTGCTTCTTCCCCACAACCCAGGAGACCCCCTTCCCTCCCCCTGCTCCAGCCCTACCCCTAGCAAAAGCCCCTTGGGGAGGAGAGGGGAGGGAGCTGCTGCCTCGAGTACCAGCCTGGACACCCTGCAAACCTTTCTGTCTTCCTGCAGGTGGGACAGGTGTTCTTGTACTTCCAGTGGTAAGTGGCCAGGCTGGACATGCTCCTCCATTCCCGGTTTTGAGGAGGTTGTGTGTCCTAGAGGGGGTCATTCCCCAGCAGCTTCTGGGCCAGTAGTGGAAGGTCCTTGGAGCTGTAGGAGACCAGATTGGGAATTCCTTAGCTCCAAGGAACATCATGGTTAGTGCAGGAGGGAGGAAGAAATAGGGGCTGGGCCTTCCTTGCCTGAGGAAGGGGGCCAGGGATGGGAGCCAGGGCTTCTGTGGGGAGCTGGTGCCAGAAGGTTGGGCCTGTTTGTTTTTCCATGGAGTACTCTAGCTGCAGGTAGCCCAGACTGGCAGGCGCTCTGACACCTTAGGCTGGGGTCATAGAGGAGTTCTTTCCTGATGGGGGGAGGGGTTTGGCCTGGTTCCTGGTGGCCCTTGTAGTGATAGCTCCCCCCCGGCCCCTCCAGGGACTCCTTGTTGCTGGAGACAGGTTTCCTGGCAGTGCTGGTGGCCCCTTTGTGGCCCCCATGGGGCAAGGAGACAGGAGCCCCACCACACGCAGATGTCCCCTTCTGGCTGGTCCGATGGCTCCTCTTCCGCCTTATGTTTGCCTCAGGAGTGGTCAAGCTCACCAGCCGCTGCCCTACGTGGTGGGGGCTCACAGGTGACCCAGCCATGCCCCCCGTCGTGCCCTTACACCCTGGCACCAGAGGTCCTGACCTGTCCTGTGCCCTTGCCCCGCCATCCACGAAGGGTCCTGTGCCCCCCCCCCCCCATCCCCCCCCCCCCCCCCCCCCCCCGCCCAGAGTAACCTTGCTTAGGCCCCAGCTCTACCTCCCCCAGCCCTGACCTACCACTATGAGACACAGTGCCTGCCTACACCTGCCGCCTGGTTTGCCCACCACCTGCCTGTCTGGCTTCACAAGCTCAGTGTGGTGGCCACCTTCCTCATCGAGATTGCCGTGCCCGTCTTGTTCTTTGCCCCCATCCGCCGGCTCCGCCTTGCTGCCTTCTATTCCCAGGTAGGCCCGGCAGAGGGCTCTTTGGCTCTCAGAACAGAGTGGGGCCTGGGGTGGAGGGGACCAGGCCCCCCGCCTTTCTCCCCTGGCTTTCCACTCATTAAGCATTTGTTAAGGGCCTGCTACAGAGAAATGGCCCTATTCCTGCCTCAGGGAGCTTCCATCCTCAAAGGTCAGGTAGAGGAGTGAGACATTAAGTATGGCCCAAATGTGTACAGACTGGTGGGGACAAAGAGAACCCCAGCGTGAAGGGGGGGGAGCTTCTCTGCGGAGCAGGGTTTGGAGGGGTAAGGGCACCTCACCTGAATGGAAGCTCATTGCCTGCACAGCCCTCCACTTCCCTGTGGTGGAGCATTCATGGGAGGAAAAACAAAGCAAGGCAGGAAGGCTTGGGGAAGGCCCTGGGCTGTCATCTTCCTGGATTTCAACCAAGCGGGTGACCCAGGCCTTCCTATGGGAGCGGCCTAGACCGTAGGTAAATTCGGGTTCATGGTTGAACCCATGTCCCAGAGAGTGGTCATTGATGCCAGCTGTGGAGAAGCCCAGGCCGGGTCACACTGTCACAAGTGACCTGAACACAGGTGTGCCTGGAATGCTCGTCCAGTTTTCAACTGACAAAAACGGGGAGGGACAGCTGGATACTTACCAGGATTCACTCAGGTCTCACAGGCGAAACTTTGGACTAAATCTATGGAGATAACTGTTATTGGCTTGACGTGTGTCGGGTCTTGTGTGAAAAAGCTAACAAAAATCAGCCTCATCAAGTCCAGGATTGGGGAGGCATAGCTGAAGAGTTCGTTGGAAAAAGATCTGAGACTTTTAGTGGACCACAAGTGTGCAACGTTTTAACAGTCTTCTATGGCAACCGAAGTTGTTTAAAACTATTGAGTTTGGCTCTGGCTGCTTGAACTTAGGAAGGACTTGGAGAAAGGGGAGAGCAATGGCGGGGAGGGGACTCAGCATGATGAGGGTCTTGTGAGGGTCAGTGGAAGGGGCTGGGTCTGGTTCCTCGTGCAAGAGAAGCCAGGGAGCATTTGATGGCCTGTCACACGGAAGGGGGATTAGAAGCAGCCTGCTTGGCCCCAGAGAGCCAAAGGGCTATCTGGATAGGGAGGCCTTCCAGCCTGGGGTGGGATGGCCACTTGGCACGACTGTGGAGGCCTAGCCTGCTTGGCCTTGGGGCGGGGAGCAGATCAGAGATGCCATGGGGGAAGGCAGCTGGAGGGCTTCGGAGGGCTGGGAAGGTCTGCCTCGGGAGTGCATTTTGATCCCTGACTGGTAGGGAGTCGCTGGTGCTCCCTCCCTTCCCCACTGTCTCCTCCTCCCCCATCCCATCCCCTATTCTCCTCGCTCTTCCCTTCTCCCCCCTCCCCTCCCCCGCTCCTTCCCTGTCTCCCCTCCCCTCCCCCGCTCC